TCCCCCAACCCCCCCCGTCCCCGGCCGGGTCCCTCCCCGCGGCCGCAGGTCGGACCGAAACGCTGCGGCTCAGGCTGATTTCCCACCCAAAGCAAGTCTGTGCGTTTCCCTCTAATAACTTTAATTCAAAGTTTATGATGCGGAGGTCTGGGTGAGGCGGTTGGAAATCGCGGGGGGGGGATGTGTGTGACTGTAATTAGCTTTGGGTTTAACCAGGCCAGCTGGACAACAAAAGCACCGGGGACAACAATAGTAAGGGGCATCATTTATCAGGCTGATTTCCCACCCAAAGCAAGTCTGTGCGTTTCCCTCTAATAACTTTAATTCAAAGTTTATGATGCGGAGGTCTGGGTGAGGCGGTTGGAAATCGCGGGGGGGGGATGTGTGTGACTGTAATTAGCTTTGGGTTTAACCAGGCCAGCTGGACAACAAAAGCACCGGGGACAACAATAGTAAGGGGCATCATTTAATGTACTGTCTGACAAGTGACGGAGGTGTTGAAGTGAGTCTTCAGGAAACTTGGCTCTCAAACCGCCCATTTGGAGTCATCTGACTTTTAAGGAAAGAATTTTTTTTTTTCATATTTTCGGCAGTTGCTTTTTAAAATTAATTTTCTTTAACTGACATGCTTATTCTTAAAAAAGCTGTCAGTATGTGACTAGAAGATGTTAAGGAGGATGTTTAAGGTTTGATTAAATAAAACACAGGAGTGAAGAATTATTTTTTTTTCCTGTCTAGAGGATAAAAAATAAAGGAAGGAATTGCTGGTGTATTTGATTTAGCCATTTAGTCTAAACGCAGCAGCACAACTGTCAGCATCCAAAAGGTAGTCCTTAGGGGCATGCTGTGCAGCGTTTTAAAATTCTTTGGAAACATCAGAATACCTTATTACGCCCTTGCAGCTGAGCTTTAGTGAAACTGCTATCCTAGAGGAGGAGGTTAAAAATACAGGAATAAGCCTTCATAGAAGCTACATGCTGGGAGCACCATAAAAGCGAGGCATGTGTCTTGCTTTGCATTGACAATTTGGGAGTGGCAGTGGTGAGCTCTGGAAGAAAAAAAAAAACCACCATGTGCAGCAAGGTTAGTTCAGAACACATGCACCGTATAAAAGCATTGAGGGTCGTAGGAGCAAAGAATGAAAGAAGGGACCTCTAGCTTAAGAATTCGGTGTTCTTGACAATTGCTTTGTGAAGAGTAGCTAAGTCTTAAATTATTTATCAGGTGCCTGTTCCACTGTTGTGGCTTCTAACTGTTGGTGGTTTGAAGGGTAAGCCTTCAAATACCGATTTTAATCATGGACTTGCTTCATAGACATTTTTAGAGTTGTCATATATGATGAATTAGCTGCACAGCTCATACGTTCAGCAAGAAAAAAAAATCTTTGCTGCTAACACAAACAGTTGAAAGCTGTTACAGCCCTGCAAATGCAGTAGTCGTTTCACTGAAAAAGAGCTCACTTTGCTTTAATTCATAGATTTGTTATTTGCTTATCTCTTTTTACTGGAGTGCATGCATACCTTTGAATTTATTTCATATGTAAACAAGTTTTTTATAACTTCCAACAGAAAAGAATTTATTAGGCATAGTATGTGAAATGGGTGGGATTTCTGGATTGTCTAATATCTTGTTAATTATGTGGCATTTATGCTGTTCTGGAAGCTGTGTGTGCTTCAGTAATTATGATAGCACTTCTGGTAATTTTTTATGCTTCTGAATTACTGGGGAAATCTATATTTGTGTTTTGGTATTTTCAAGATCAAGCTTAACATCTTTTCCTGGGACTGAGAGACACATGTGGAGGGTTGACCCCAGCCAGCAGCTAAGCACCCACATAGCTGCTTGTTTACTCCCCTCAGTGGGACAGGGGAGAGAGTAGGAAGAGCAAAAGTGAGAGAACTTGTGGTTCGGCATAAAGGCATGTTAATAAGTGAAGGAAAGGGGTGGGGGAAAGGCAAGTGATGCAAAGGCAATTGCTTACCAATGCCCAGCCAGTTTCTAAGCAATAGCTGCCTTGCAAGACAGCCCCCCACTCTGTTCTTCCTCTACACAGGTTGTTATTGCTGAGATTTATATTATGTTATATGATATGGACTGTCCCTTTGGCTAGTTTGGGTCAGCCGTCCTGCGCTCCACCAGCCTACTCACTGGGGACCTAGAATAGGAAAAAGAAAACTTTGAGGCTGTGAAAGCTGTTCAGCAGTAGCCAAAACATTGGTGTGTTATCAGCCCTGTTTTAGTCACAACTCCAAAACACAGCACCACAGGGGCTGCTGTGAAGAAAATTAACTCCATCCCAGCCAGACTGGGTACAGCAAATCAATGACTTCTAAGGAATATGACTTTTTTTATTGTACTTTTAATATCTTGATCACTGAGAACTAGTAAACGGTTCTGTGCGAATTCAGAGCACTGCCTTTGCCAGCAGCTTAGTTTGGTATATTGCTTATAAAACTTCTCCAGTTAAAAGGTGGAAGTGAGACTTTAATGATGACCTTGACATGTTTGTAACTGCTCTTCAGAATAGCAAAGCAATTCAGGCAATAGCAGAGGTGGCTGAAATCATCTCAAATTTGATTTCTAACAGCCATAATCAGCATTAGATTTATACCACAGTCAAAACTATTTCTGTAGGTGATGGGGAGAAGCTTAAACAAAAAAAGGCCACAGAGGCGATCAGAGTCACTCAGCTGCGATGATTCAGTTTCTCTAGCTTTGTCCTTAACAGTCCAGATATATGAGGCTGGCAGAGAAAGGGCAGTGACAAAATGATTCGCAAGGCGTGTGATGGACGCAACTGTTGGAAGGTGCTGCTCCTGTGGTTTGTGTTGGTAGGAGGCGCAAAGTGTGGAATTACCTGCACAGGGAAACTTGCCAAATGTTATTAAAGGATTTTGTGTCTGGAAAAGAGCAAGCAAAAACCCTTAAGAGGATTCTATAAATGTATTGAAATATTTTTTCTGGCACTAAAATTTGCTAGAAAATGGGTTTGGAGCTGAAGCTGTCAAAAGATTTGAGGGCAGAAGCAACACAGTCACGGGTAACTGGTGCTTAGGAATAGTTTTGTGAAACGTTATCTCTTCTGAAACTAGGGTAATGATATCTGAAGGTTTCATTCTAGGCATTTTTGCTTTTTCTAGCACTAGCAGCTTGTTAATGCAAATCAGGTTTAAATTGTAGTACCTCATGTGCTGTATTCCTGTGTGGAAAAGGATGCTTAGTGTGACATAGCTACCTTGCAAAAGTATGTTTCCATACGCGGGCAAGTATCTTTTTAATGCAGAGTATTTATAGAAGGGGAGCGATAGGTTATTCTCTGTCGTGGTGTCAGATAGTATAGGTTAGGCATAAGCATGTTCATGGTTGTATTTGCTGTAATATGGATTCAGGAATTTGTTGGTACAGAGGTGTACTCTAATTCTGCATGTATTGTACTTCATGTGAAAGCTGACATACACCTGCAATCCAGCAGCGTCATGATAGGATGGACAAAAAAATACCCCCGTGACAAATGAGCTGCTCTGTGCAAAAGTTAACCAGAAGAAAAGTGTCTCTTGTCTCACCTGTGTAGTATCTTAAACTCATTGCTTTCCTTCTTGAGTTTCTGTTCTTCTAGTGTTAATTTGGTATTGGCTATCACTGGAAGATTAAAAGAGGTCTTAATTTGACATTCCAGAAAGAAAACCTGTTAATTTCACCATTTCTGTTGTGAATGAATATAGGTAGGCTAGCTTTTTTACCCTTTTTTTGGAGGTGTTGTGTTTGTTTTGGGGTTGTTGTGGGGTTTTTGTTTGTTTGTTTTGTTGTTTTTTTAAGGGGACTGATCTCTTTAAGGCAGATGGAGAAGTATTCGTAAAACAGGCAAAAGTGATTTGAGGCTGGTGTAGTACCTGTGTTTAATAGAAAAGCTTATTTGAAACTAAGTAGATGCAAAGTTGACAGTGTCCCTTTAAGTGTTTCTTTAAATCATAGGGTTTTGTTCAAATATCTCTTACTTGTTTTATGCAGCATTATATGGAACCATTCCTAAGCTTTAATTCATTACAGAAAATAATGGGTTCACTTCCTTTTTAAGCAGGACAAAAGGAACAAGCTGTTGAATGGTATAAGAAAGGAATTGAAGAACTGGAAAAAGGAATAGCTGTCTTAGTAATTGGTCAAGGTAAGCCAGTTTTGAGTTTTGTGGAAAAGATTTTTGTATATGGCTTCTTCAAAGTGAGGAATCAATATTCCTAAATATGACAGGTGCTAGGAACGGTCTGCTCTATGAATTCATACGAGTGCTTATTCCTGTTTTAGCTGTAGGTGAACACTGATCCATTTGTTTGTTCTACGTTAATGTTTTGGTCTATAACACATGCAAATCTTGCTCCAAGTATTTTCAGACTATCCAAAATCATAAGCAGTTCATAAAAATTCTAAACTAAAACACTTGATTTCTTATGTAATGGGAATGCCAGAATATTGAGTTCTCATTTGATTTGCCAAAGTTGACAGTTCGTATTCTCACTTATGCAGAATTTTATATTCCTTTCAGTATAACTGAAGAAGAAACACCCCAGTTTGGAGTAGTTTAGCATTGTGTTTTGGTTTATGCCAAAATAGCTGAACATTTTCAACAAGGGAAGAAAGCCATCTGTGTATATGGAAACATTTTAAGCTATAGTGTAGAAGCAGATATGCACCATAGAGAAATAGGTGTAGTGAAGGACTTGCTAAGAATTTCCGTCCTCAAAATAATATAGTAATATTAATAACCCAACCCCCTCCAAAAACCCAAGCCTGTGACTGCTTTTGCAGACTGCTGTTCTGTTCCTCAGCTATGTTAAGAAGTGTTTGTGAACAGTATATCAGTATATGGTGACATGTTACTTATGCAGCAATACCCGTGGCATTTGATACAACCGATCTAAATTGCACAGTTTAAAAAAGGAAAAAAAAAAAAAGGCTTGACTTGAACAGCATTATTTTTTAGCAAGTGGTGATATTAATGTCTGTAATTCTATGTGTTTTGAAGTGTAAAGGGACACAGTCAACTGAATTTAAATCTGTTAATTTTGCCAGAGTAAATTATTTCAAATTGTACTTGCCTCTCAGTCACTTTTCAAGCTTTTTAAAAATCTTTTTTTAATAGACTTCTGTTTAGAAAAATCCAGTGACAAAGAACATGTATTATTAGGTCAGCAATGAGATGTTAGAGAATATGCAAAGCAATGTTTGGTTTCCCACCACTCTATGAGCAATATTGTAAAGCAGATAGTGTCAACCAACTTTATGTTCTTGATTAAATAGAAAGCTTTAGGATTTTTTCATTAGTTTTGCAATGATGTTCCTTAGTGGAGGGGGTAGATAAGGGGTGGGAGGAAGAGGAGGGAAGGCTGGGTGTCAGTATTTTAGCACTTAAAAAAGTTAATTTGCCAAATTGTGTTTTAACATTGATTTTTCTTTGTAAGGTGATCAGTGTGAACGGGCTCGACGTCTTCAATCTAAAATGATGACAAATTTGGCAATGGCCAAGGATCGCTTGCAGCTTTTAGGTACCAGTTATGATTCACAACTTTGGAAAGTTTGTCATTATTTGCACAACTTCATGTAACGCGCTCTTCTAAAATATTACTTTGATTTTTAAAGTGAAGGAATCATTATCTGTGTAGGGTCTCTTAAGTTTAGTTTTTAGTTGAGAGTAAGTAATACTTTTTCAGAGCTGTTGATGGATTTGGAATCTCATGATCCACTTCCCTGTGCCTTAAGAAATAGGTGTAAAAGTAACTGAGAAGTCTTTATATCATGGCATGCTTGACTCATAAACTGAGGAACTCTTGACTAACTCTTGTTGGAGTTAGTTTAGGATTTCTGTGTTAGAACTGTAGTAAAACTTATGATATATTGCTCATCGTGAGTGCTGTGTGCTTTCTGTAAGTGTAACTACATGTTCTGTTAATTCTGCTGTCGCTTATATAACAATTTTCCTGGTTATTGGTATGTACTGAAAAAATAATTCTTTAGCGTTATGTAGGCCATAAGGTTGTGAAATCCCAATTCTCATAATTTTTATCTAGTAGTGTTCTATTTTAAGATGAGCAGGTAAGACCACTTCTTTTCAGAAGCATAGTGTTGTATAGTTTTAGCTTTATCAAAATTAAGTGTTGTATATAAGCTCTTAATGGACAGGATAAAATAGGCAGGATTGGAAATGGCATCTTACTGTGCACGATAAACAAAGATCTCCCCCAGCAAGTGAGAAACCCACAGCTTTGTGTAGTGCATCCTCTAAATTGAGAACTTTGGAAATGCGTTCAGTTCAGGCAGAAAAATGAAAAAAAAAAAAATTTTTTTTGTTTGTTTTATTGCTCTTTAAGGGAGAACTAACAAATGTACTTCAGTTTAACTTGTGTATCTGCAGCTTTAATCTTGCACTGTGTTGTTTGGAATTCTACTAACTCCCTCTTCTAGGAGTGTACAGAGCGGATGGGAAAACCCATGTTCTTTTCTGCTCTTACAGTTCATGATTCTGTGGTCCTAACTGGGGATTGACAGGGAAGTTGTGACAGCCACAAGAAAGTGAATGCCTTTCGTTTCCCTTGAGTTCCTGGTGTCCTTAGTTCTTTTTGGTAAAAAAAAAGAGTGAAGGGAACATGGGAAGAAAGAAGCTTCTGGCTTCTATGCTTTGTTGTGGGCGCTTGTTGGTAAAACCTTAGTATATACAGAAAAGATACTTTCTATTCATTAGCGTTAAAGGCTGACTTCTAGAGGTAGTATAAACCAGGCTACAAAAGAGTGAAAGTGATTACATGCTAACAATCTTTGATAAGGAATGGCTTGTTGCTGACATCCTACTTGCAAGTAACTAGGATTTCTTTAAAAAATAATTGCTGTTCTTTGAATCTTGAAGTAGCAGTGTCTGTATTTTTTGTGGGTGGTGCTTCATCCTTGCTTGTGTTATTGTAGTAGCACTTGCAATGTTGGTAAGTCGCTCATTTGCTATGCTCTGATTGAAAAGGTAAAAAAGGTAAACATTGCAAAAATCCTAAAGTTGAAGTCAAGCTGGTACATTCATTTCTACTACCAGAATGTGTGATCACATGCTATTTTATTTGTATGCTTCATTCAGAGTGCAGATTGAAAGGTAAACAGAATAGTGTTTATTGCATAAGTTGATGTCCGATACGATTTTATTTTTACTTTGAAATTATCAGAAGTTTAGTACTTTACTCTACTTAAGTTCTTGTTCAATTTGCACTAAGAATCTGCATTAAAAAATGCACCTGAGAGCAAAATTTGGATAGAAAGGAGCAAGTGAAGTCATCTGCCTTCTTGGGTAGGAAAAAGATATTGTCTGGAGAGATATTCCAGTGGATTTAAAACCCTGCAACCTTGATCATTATGGATCTATTTGAGTGATATTTGTTACACCATCTAACCAGCTTTCAGGTATTGACCGCATCTCTTTTTATTACTTTATATGTCAATTTTACATGGATTTTATGGAAATTTAAGATAATCTAGAGTTGAATTGCATGTGCAATTCTAAATATACCTTGTATCCTGCAACTTAGAGGAACAGATATTTGGAAGTTTTTAAGTGGTGTAGAGATGCATTTGTAGTTGAACTAAACCTGAGGCTCTTGAAGCTCTTAAGGTTCAATAAAGTGATTTTTCTTAAGAATCCAACTCTTCAGACCAAAGAGTATGTGTTTTCCTTTAGCCCTGTGGAATTTCTCCATTTCTTAAGAAAGAATAGGAAAGTCCTTTGTTGCATTAGCTGGCGTGATAAAACAGACTTAAAGTAGAGAATAATATCAAATATTTCATCCTACTTGCTAGACAGAGATGTGATTGCAGACTGCAGATTGACACCACTGATGGGACTGTGTTGTCTGATCACACCCGTGTGTCACCACCATGTGTCATCACACTATTGATGCCTTTTAATGTTAGACCAAGAGGATGTAGATACTTACCTTGGATGATAGTTTTACTATTTTCAGCCCTGTTTTCATCTTGAGTCTAAATTACTGTATCGTATTCCATTTGAAGCTTTACTTGAGCCTGAAAGCTGAACTTACTCCAGGTATCTTTCAGAGCACTTCAAGGTGACTTGATCGCTTTGGCAGTCCAGTGACGATATTGAGTTGTGCTAGCTGCCAGAGGACTTCCAAGTTCTGCCATCTGAATTGGTGGCTGCCCCGGTTGTTGACACAGTTTAGGGTGTGTTAGCTGTGCAGTTACTTAGATGAGTGGATAAATCTTGCTCTGATGGTCTTCATAGAGCTGATCTCTCCTGGATGACTGATCATCCATGTTAGAATCATTATATTTGATATATTTAGAATCACAGGAGGATATTTGTTTTCTACAACTGCTACACAAAACTCAGCAGTTTGCTGTTCCTAAAGGTAGATAACCACAACGTCCAGTGCAACACTGTTCAATTCTACCGCTATACACGTGTTGTACCAGTCTGTGTTCTCCCATTTCAGAGACTTTCTGCAGGGGCACAGACTTCTATCAGCACAAGTGCCTGTCTGTGTGCTATGTGTAGCTTTGGTAGTTTGGTTGAAGGATGCACACGGCACATAGTTCAAATATATTTCATCAGTATGCTCTTTGGTAATAATTCTGCCCATATATAGTTATGGGCTTCAATGGACACCTTTTGGGATTCTTCCACTTTCTTGGAGGTGATGGTGATTTTGCTTCAGGCCTGTGTTACAAGTTAACTTTTTTAAATTAGAAATTAATTAGAAACTCGAAGTCTAGTATTGCCTAAAGAAGACAATGGCTGCAGTGGTGTTTATTTGGTAGGTTTATGTCAATGTTGTATCATCAAGGGGAAATAATGAATGAGATTCTGTAAACTCTCCCTCCCCCTCCCCCCCTTCATGTCTGGACACACAGGGAGAAAGCATTTAAATGGAAGGTGGTAGTGTCCTATTAATTTCCTGGAATAATATTCAATAGCTCAATTTTTTTCATTATTCCAGAGGGCTCTACAGCTACACTGTCTCTCAAGAAAAGTGATATATTTACATTATGTAATTTTATGTGCAAGATTAAAATTACATGTTAATATGTAAGGTGATGGAAGGACAGTGTGTGAATTGAAACTGGATTACATTTTTGTGTTGCATTTTTGGAGTTCCTGAATATGTGGAACTTGCTAAGCCATTGATAATTGTGGTAAAACCCCAGTCTCAAACTGTAGCGATGAAGCAAATGGCATTTCCTGAATTCCTGCCCAAGCCAATTGATTTTTATTGTGGTCATTCACTAGACAGCTGGGGTGGTTTTTGTTTGTAAAGTTCAGAAATGTTTTCCACAACTGAACTGCTTATCTAATATCTTACCAAGTCTATTAGTACTAATGTTGTTTGCTAAGCTTCTCTGTGTACTTCCCATTCAGATTGCATGCACTGGGCAGGGAGTAGGCTATTCTGCTGTCCCCTTCAGTAGGGTTGCGCCTGCTGAAATAGTACACCATGTTTGTGGTCCCTCATGCTAAAAGGACTTTTCTTAGGCTTCTTTAGAGGGAGGTTTCTTAGGGTAACTTCTTACAAGTTACAAAGCTTGTAGTTGTTCGTAGGTTGTTTTGTGACTAACATTTTGTTGTTTTACTGTATCCAACTCTGCAATGCTTTAAATTTAAAACAAAGTAAACCCTGGGTGCACGTACTAATCTTGAGCTTTACCTTTTCATATTTACCTGTGGCTACTAAGTTTTCACTCTTAACTGCATCTTGTTCAGTCTGGATATTATTATTAATCCATTACTTCAACTGTTGGGTTTAAAGATACTTTTCAGGGAGGCTCAGTGGTGAGTGATCAGGAGCAGGCAGAAGAAGAAACAAATGAAACAGACTGGAGAAAGATCTGTAATAGACAAAGAAGTGGAAGCAAGGAGATGTTTATGCTTGTTAGTTGTATGATCATACGATCTGCAAGCTCTGAATGGCAGTTCTTCCTCCAGTCAGGGCACTTAGGATCTTGGCCGTGCACATTTTCAGTAGAATTCAGCTGCTTTTGCAGTATGTGCTTTCATGTTGCCAGAGGACATTGCTCCTCTACTTAGCTGTTTTCCTGCAGCTTCTTGGTACTGTTATCTCTTGGGGGAGAGGAGAAAAAAAGGCTGGGGGGGGTGTGGGGTGTGGGGTGACAATGTATGCCTTGCATCCTTACAAACCATGTTTTGTTTTTACAAAAAAGGGTGTGTGTGTGTGTGAAATAAAGGTAGGAGAGGCTGCAAAGTGCTCCAAAAGTAGGGCCTAGAGGTTTTTAACTGTAGTGGGAAAAGCAGGGATGGTAGGGGGGCTTCACGGAATAAAAAAGAGACTTAATTCTTGTTTTATGTCCTTTGCAGCCTTGCATCTCTTTGACTTATGCTTTGGCTAGTTTCTCATGACTTTTTAGAGTTAATTTCTTTCTCCTTAATCTTTAACCTTGTAAATCTTGTGTTCAGATGTTTCTGAAGTTAATCCTCTTAAAGAGCACAGCTTGCATGAGAATTTTATTGACTTAATTTCGAGGCAATTATATTTCTAAATAGAGATCTTTATTGAAAGACATTGTAATGTGTATATGGTGTTTTGCTTGAACAGTTGAGGTTTCTGTAAAAAGTTGACTGGCTGTTACTACTTAAGTGAAACATTTAACTGACTCCTTGCAGTTGGTCAACAGTAACACCTTGGGGAGGACTTTCAGAAATTATTTATCAACACAAATATTGAATAAATGAAGTTGAATTAATCCTGACCATTGCTTTTGGGAAGTAACTACAATCACTAGACTGGAAAGATTGTTGTAATTAACTCAGCCCTAAATGGCTAGTTCTAAAGCAGTTTTCAGTCATGCTCATGCTGACAGAATTTTCTTACAAATTTGCTAAACACGTAGAATAGATAGAAATGCTCCTTTTATCTTTAACCCTGTATCAAGTATAACAAAGCCAAACTTGACATTTGTGTGTTCAACATACATAAACTTTCTTGGTTCATTTTTATTTTTTGTTTGTTTATTTTGTCCTTTTTCCTCCCTCCCCCTCTGTCTACTATGTAGAGAAGCTGCAGGCAGTTTTGCAAATTTCCAAGCCGCAAACGGAGGTCTATAATGACAGTACTAACCTGGCATGCCGCAATGGACATCTCCAGTCAGGTGGGTTTGGTTTTACCAGCGCCTATTGAGGGGATGTCTCTCAGTTTCTGGTGTATTACAGGGAAAAATATGCAATGCTATGTTCTGGCCCCGCCAAATTTAAAAAAAAAAAAAAAAAGTTTATATTTCTGTTTTTAAAGACTTTATATAAAATACATTCCATCCTTTCTATGGCTTTGACAACACTTCGCAGTATTCAGTTCTCTCTTAACAATGACTGTCCTAGAATCCAAAGCTATTCACTAAGACAACACTTCAGAAAATGTTTCTCCTGTTATATTCTGAAATGAATTAAATTAAACGTGTTTTACAAAGTCTCAAAGTTTGTGTAGGGTGTGTAGGTTATAAACTGTGCCTACATAAGTAGCTCTTGCTTTATGATATTGTGAGGGTGAATGTGCATTTGCATCCAGCTGCTTTAAATTTCAGGGGGTTTTAATCTGAGGAAGTGATACACAATTAAAACAAGGCCGGGGGGAGGAACAGCTCTTGCTTTTTGTCAAAGAAGGTTGTGTTTATCCTTTCCCAGAAGACTGCACCAGGGATACTGAAATAAGAGAAGTAAACTTGTTTGTCTGTATACAGGGAGTAAAGTTACTGTGAGATTTGTGAATTGTCTTCAGTGAATGTTTTAAGCCAGCATTAAGCTATTGTCACAACTGTGATCTCAGCTGGTAATTCATACAGTAGACTACAATGAAGTTAAATAAAATAGAGAGCTAACAAGCAGTGGAATTCATAAAGCTTGTCTACTGAGTCAAGAGCAGTATTCAGTTTCTAAAGTAACTAAACTTTAAAGTTACTGTAAACATATGCTTTTATTTTTTTTAAGCTCCATTTCTAGTTCTGAAGTCACCTTACTGTTTGGTTTTATTCTTCTTAATGTATGAGGAATTAAAGTGGTGGAACTATGTCACGTTACGTACCTTTAGATTACTGTAGGTGTGGTATTTTTGTGAACCACATTTGTCAAAAAGATGTAGTTTAAATGGCTCTTCAGTATAAGTTCCTGTGTAGATTGACCTTGAGAACTCTTTACCTTAAAAGATCCAGTACAACTTTCTTTTTTTCACCTGGTTGGCTGGAGATGGAATGAACAAATACATATGCACACAAAAATTGCTAACATGTTCCATCTGATTTGATATGAACAGCTTTTTTTAAACTCTTTCCTTTATATGTTTTTGTATCTTTTTCTCAACTTATCTCCGAATTGGATGCTGCAGGAGAAGGTTAGGCTGAACTTTCACTCTCAAAACTGTTAATTTAGTTACTTAAATCTGTTAGTAACAAAGCATAGAATATCCATTGGCATCTGCCTGAAACGAAGAAATGTTTTGCCAGTGCTGTGGCAGGTGTTTTTATTTACAGAAGTTCCTGTAGCAGGAGGTGGTCACTGTTGGTAAACTTGTGGAAATTGGTATTAGTCAATTTACCCATTTGGAGTCATATTCCTGGTGACTTACAGAAGATGGATGACAGAACCACTTCTGCAAAACTGTGGAGGAAAGGGTAGCGAAACAACTGCAAAGGGCCATGGTCTATTGGGGATGCTTTTTTTCTGAGAAAGTGTCTTCCAACTTTCTGAAAAGAAATGTGGGTTAATGGAGAAACTTTCATTTACTGGGCTCAGTGGGATCTGAGAGGAGACAGAAGGGCTAAAGATCAGGTCATAAAATAGAGTTAGGTACTAGATCCTTCAAGAGGCTTGTTCCATTTCTATTTGCGTTTCCATTGCCAAAGATAAACTTGTGGAAGTTAGAGGTTTACCCAAAGTACTGAGCTTCTCTTGCAGCTTTGGGGTCCCTGATAGTACTAGGAAAGTCAGTCCATTATCTGATGTCTGAATTTCTTAATTGGCTGGTGCCTGCGCTCGCATGCTTGTTCACGCTCGCTCTGTCTCTCTTTCTGGGGTGCGGGAGAAGGGAATCTTGTTTGGAAGAACTTGTTGGTGCTACACTTTTTCCTTAAAAGTACCTCCTTTATACATGTTGTAGTAAAGGTGGTATTTTCATACAGACAGCTGCAATCATTTTAAAACACAAAGTAGATGACGAATTCTTGGAAAACTGTACAAAATCAGCTTGCAGGCTACTTGAGGTAAGAGGACTGCCCGTTATTGGGAAACTAGAGGGAGTGCAGAGGTACTGAGCCACAGGACTCTGGCAGAAGCTTTATTTTTCTATCTATGTAAAGTATTACCTGTGCTGTTGCCGAATCAGGCTGGGCTTTTTAAAAGTCCAGGATTTTATGGAGTGTGAAACACGATCATTCATAATTTTAACATCAAAAAAGTGCCTTTTTGTCCATTTTTTGGTCAAAAAGTGCTTTGCTTTCTTTCATTTGCCTCTAAAGGCTAAAGTCTTTAATGATGTTTTTACTTCTTAATTCTGTCTAATATTCTATTCTCACAGCTATACTGTACATTTTTTTAAATTTACAAAAATGTTAGTAATTTGAGATTCTTCCTTCTTTCAAGATACTGTTTGTGTCAGCCTTTCAGACCAATTTGCTTGATTCTAGCACAAATGACTGCCTATTCCTATCTTCCTCATTCGTAGTTTCCTGACTTACCTGAATAGGTGGAGATTTTTCTTAAAAATTTATCTGATATATTTGTAATGATATTTTGATAAGGCCTCATTACAGCAGTATCACCTGCCCTTCAGTTGCAGAAGGCTATATGGTAACTTGAGAGTAATAATAAGTAGCCTTGACCCCAAACTTCTTATTTTAAAAGACATTTATTGTTTAATATCCATCACTTGTTATCATAGCAGTCTTAAGTTAGATGTAAAACAATTTAGCTGTCTGTTTTTTGTTGTTTTTTTTTTTCTTCAGACGTGTGTTTTCTTTTGCGTTGTGGATTGTGGTATTTTGTTTTCAAACTGGTTTGGGAAGGAGATCATGCCACTCTTGCCAAAGGCAGTGTTTATGAGTTTTATGAACTTACTTGCTGGGCATACAATACTGATAGTATTACAGTAATTTCAGTGTATCGTTTTACACTGAATGTGTAAATCTCAGCGTGATCAGAGAAAGCATTAAATTTCTCTTTCTTAACATAACATGAGCACTGTGCAAGTAGCTACTATTTTATCTCATTTTTCACTTGGAAGGATTTGCTGGTATGTCTTTAATAGTAGCAATGTTTTTCAAGTTGCAAAAATTCTACTCTTAATGCTGAAGTTTTTAAAGAAGTTTCCCAAGGAGAAGAACAAGTAGCAATAAGATCATTTTTAACACCATAATTTGGCAACAGTAGATCTTTGACTGACATGGCTCTGTCAGTTCAGAAAGAAGAACAACTGTGTCCCTGATCTGTGTAGCTGTGCTACTATTTGAGACATCGAACACGTCCTTGTTAGATGCTGAAGCTTTCTGTTAGGGAGCTTTTGTTACTTGCATCTACCTGTTTGAAAAATCTGAATATAAGCTTTGAAGGAATTACTAGTTTGGGGGCTATTGTGAGTGCCGATCCTGAATAACTATCAGTCTTGCAATTGCTGCATGTATTTTTCTATGCAATATTTGCTGAAAATGTGTAGCTAAGCAGTTTAAAGATTTTTTAATTTTTTTTTTTTAATAAAACTGCATACATAAAGTTACAGACAATTCTAGACCGGTGATTTTTTTTTCTTCAACCTGGGATCCACAGACCACATGTAGCTTCTCTTAGTCACTTTATGTCAGTTATCAATAGGCATACATAAGGAATTTCTGAGGAATATTCCCTGATGATTTTTAAGGTTTCACAATTAAAAGCTGTAAAGTGTTCTGCAATACTGGATGTGTTCTACTGGAAAGTGTTCTGCAATGTTCTGCTGCTAATTTTAATTTAAACTTTTTTTTTTTATGCTTAAGAAGTTACAAAACAGCAGAAACTTGTTTATTAACATATGCCTTAATCTGGTTTAGATGCATGAAAGTAAAGATAATTGGTTTGCTTTTTCGAAATACAAAGCGTGCTTTTATCTTTGTTAGATAAATCAGCTAGAGCTACATGTTTCCCAGATTGTTTCTGTGTTTCCAGGTGTGTGGTATGATTGTGGTTCTCTTAAAGTTGTTCAAACACATCCTTAATTCACTTTAACTTTAAAAACAGCTAAATATAATAAATAAAGTTTTAACATTTTTTCAGTAAGGGAATCTGAATCTGCCTGTGTCTGCAGCTTATCACAATTTAACCAATAAAAAACCTCAGACAAAATTTTGCTCCTTGTTTGTTGTGTATGTATTTGGATGTCAGATTAAAATTGCAGGGATGCTTTCAGGACCAGATAGTTATTATTTCTGTATGATCTAATGGTGTTAGCTTGGAACTTTAAAGTAAATTATTCTGTCCAGTCAAGAATTAGTAAAATGAAAATGATCGAGCCCCTATTAATATCCTATAAGTATATGTGAAGTAGGCAATTGAATTGTTCAGTGTTTCAAATACACTTGCAAAAAATGCCATGGTCTCTCTTTGTGATTAGAGCATATTTTAGGCACTTCCTTACTGTTTTATACGGAACAGTGAAACATTTGGCAAAAGGCTGCTGGAGATATTACAGAGGTTTTAAGGACACTTGCAGCATATTTTCAGTTTTTCAGCAGATGACAAATAGAAATAGATAAGATGTGTTTTGGGGGGTTTATATTTGTTACAGCAAAAGATATAATATAATGAAACAGTAGGGGCTGAGACTGATAGTCTAACAAGTGACATACATGTGGTCCTAAACGCTTCATGCTTTAGAAATAGGAGAACTTTAGATAAACTGTAATTCTGAAGAGTTTGATCACATTTTTATTTACTTCTTAAATGAAAATGTGTATATAAAATGAAGTTTCCCTCTGTAGTTGACCCTGAACAACTATGTTCAAGAGTAGTTCATCAGTGCTTCTTTTTGTGCTACCCATCAGGACTGACCACAGAACATACATAAACTTAGTGGTGTTGATTCCTGGAGGTACAGCTAGAGTGAACAGTAATTGGTATTTAAACCTTTCTCCTTTTCCTTCCCCTCCCGTATTTCCAGCTTCTTGAAATACTCCTTACCTGTGCAATTTTATGATGCGCAAAATTGTAATGTGTGTGTATCTTTCTCAATAGATGGGAAAGCGTGATAATTGAGCAACATGCTAGGGTGAAGGAGATGGAGAAAAACTACTTTATCTTTTTGAAGCCTTCCCATGTTGACTTTAAGCCAGCTGTGCAAATGAGGCTGAAGGATAAAAACCCAAACAACCAAACTGAGTGCCACCTTTTGATTAAATTGGACCGCAGTGTTGAGTAACTAGGTTTTTTAATTGATTCCTCTCCTGCTTTTTGAACTTGAAAGTTACTATGTATGCCTAATTTTGAAGAGTTTTTGACTTGGAAATTCCTGTGCAGGAATGACTGAGTAAATTTAACCAGCTCTGAATCTGTGTGTGATTTAGTCAGTAGCCAGTTTTGGGTTGGGTTTTTTTGTTGTTGTTGTTGTGTGTGGCTTTGTTTTTTTTTGTTTTGTTTTTGTTTTTTTTAACAAGCAATATCTTACAGGTAAATGTGGTTAATTATATTCTTTGTTTCCTTGTTTTTTGCATATTGATACATCATCTTGTTTATGATGACCCCTGCAGAGTTTCTCTGACTCTAAAAAAGGGTAGATTTGTGACTGAAGAGAGGCTTTAGCAGCTTCTTAGCCAAGTAGTTCAACACCTGGATAACTGCAGGCTGTGTAAAGATTTGCTACTGGTAGTGTGCAAGACTTTTATGTTTAAAGAGGCTGAGAACAGGGTAGTGATTAATTAATCCTTCCATGATACTGTTTCACTGAGGTATTCTTAATGGAATTTTTTAAACACAACATTCAAAATATGAGGCTTTCTACTTAAAGTATTTTTCACTGAACTGCAGTATTAAAAATTCTTTATAGAGTTGTTCACTTCCTTTAAAAATCAGAGTTCTTTGGTCCGTTGCTTAAGACTGAGAAGAAAAACCGAGTTGCAGATTTCTGAAATCTTAATGAAGAAACTTGTAGCTGAAATCCATCTTGAGCTTCCTTACCCTTGATGCTATATTTCTCTTATCTAATTAAAAAATTCCTTCATCTTTTTAAAAGGATATAAAATAAGGCAGTATTTACAGTTTCCATTGCAGACAACAGTACTGTATGAGACAGCTTCAAGTACTGTATTCGCACCACAAAAAAAAACCCAATCTGATGCTGTTCTCTAATTGTTAACCACCCTGACCAACCTGCATGCTTGCTGTAGGACATTCTTACCTCTTAGTCTCTGATTTGGTAGTTTACACTTGCCATTTCTGTGCCAAGGAACCTTATTTTATCATGTATCCCATACGGAGAATGTAGAAGTCAAGTGCTGTTTCACTTAACTCTGGATGAAAATGGCCTTTTGTAGTTTCATCACCTGTGGCCAATGTGTTATGTTATATCTGTCACCAGATTTGAGACGTACCTGCTCCATCATGGAGGTGAATTAGAGCAAGTGGGAATGAAAGGTGTGGTGGAGTTTGAATTAAGTGATATAATATTTTAAGACTTAATTTTAAATGTAGGAAGGTAAGCTGCTTCAGCGCTGTCCATTCAGAATTTACTTACCCTTTGAGATCCCTGACGTGAAACAAAGTTGTAAGCTCCTGATAGCTGCTTGCAGGTATAACTATTTTAATTTTGCCAAATTAAAGTGCCTTGGTGAAGCTTCTGTGTGGAAGGTGCTAGATAGTGTTAGCTAACATCCAAACTAACTAGCTTGCTAACATCAGTTAAGGAATGAATGCTCTGAATCTAATGGCCTGAAATTTGGGTATTATTACAATGATTATTTTTAGGAGTTCTTGGGAAGGAAAATCTTCTGGCTTGTGTTCTGTCTTATTCTGTCTTAAGGAATAGATGGTGTTCTTAGCCATCTCCAGCTTTTCTAAGGTGGCTAGCTAGTGTTGGTTTTGAGAGCTCCTAAAAAGAGCTCCTAGAGGAAGCTGCAGTTACTATCTCCTTAAAACTACTAAACCTCTTAAAAAAAACCTGTATTATTCCGCTATAATACTGTATTGTGTCAACAATACTATCTTCATGTTTGAATTGATACTGACTGCTGAAAATGTTCTCATGACATTGGTTTTCTTTATAGAAAGTGGAGCGGTTCCAAAAAAGAAGGATCCCTTAACACACATGAGTAATTCCCTTCCTCGTTCAAAAACTGTTGCAAAAACTGGATCCACAGGCCTTTCAGGTCACCATAGAACTCCTAGCTACAGTGGGATATCATCATCTTCTGTGTCTAGACCAGCACCTAATCCTGCAGCTTCAACCCACAAGGTATGGTGAGGATAATATAGCAGTATACACTTGGAAAGTCAGTGTAAACTCCAGAACAAACTTTGGGTTTACTGCCTTTATTGCAGTATCGTAGAAGAAAAAAGTTTTTTGGGAAAAAAAAATAAATAAACCTAAACCCCTAATTTTTTTGGCCAAGCCTGTTGAGCTAGGCTGCAGAGTGGATTTTAGAAATCGAGGGGCATTGAGTGGCTGCATGGGCAAATGGATTTTAATTGTAATTACAGTCATAAAATGATAATACTTGTTTTGAAAATTGTATGGGAAACTGGGAGAAGCTTCTCTATGAGAAAAATAAATATTACTCCCAGTATGTGAAAGATGGAGAAAAACCCCTCGTACTCCAGAACTACAGATTTCCTCTCCGCATGTTCCTTCTCTTCCAAAGCATGCATGCATGGGTTGTATTGCAACCACGTTGAAAAGCAAATTATTGTTAGATTGTGACTTAAATACAAAAGTAAGTCCTATACTAAGAAGACAGAAAAATGCTACATTTCTTTTGACCTATCTCTTTCC